GTTACTTGCCTTCTTAGATTTTTTTTTGTGGCATTTTCGTAGCACTGCTGAAAATGTTTAGTTTTAATTTCTCGAGGCCATTTTAAGTTTTTAGTCGAATTGATGAATGCAATTATACGGTTCAAGTTTTCGATTGGGCTGCGTACCCAAGTGGCCCTCAATTGACCCCTAATTAAACTTCAATGCGAAACAGTTGCATGTAACAAGCTTCCGATTTGCCCACAGTTCTTCCATCTTTTTGAAATGGAACTTTGACATTTGTAGCTCTCTCGGGTTATAGGGTTATGCTGAAGCAAATATTAGAGCTGAAGTCTGTTTCACTCAATTCAAATTTTCGTTTGCCCGAAGTCCCAGGTCTTGATGTGATTTTCAGCTACTTGTACTGCTTAGCAATGCAGGTACTTGTAGGCATTTATGCAGATCATTTAAAACATAAATATAGTATGAAATATTATTTTATTTGATTTGTAAAATTCTGGATTATATAATTTGCTTAAGTCAATAACCGCAGACTTATGTAGCCAACATTTATTAGCGCTAAACATATTTTATTATTTTTAAACAGTTTTTTTTTTGTTCATCAGTAACAACAGCAATAACAATAACAAACAAGCCGAATAATAAGAATATGAAAAGCTTTTTCAGCCGAAAACAACGTAGCAGCAATAGCAACAACAATGCCAATAAAAATTGAAACATTGAAGGCACAACTCATACAAAAAACACGCGCTGCGCGAAAAAGTATGCTATACATATAGACACATATATATATTATTTTATTAAATCGCAGGATGACTGTCGACTCCACGAGTGGCAGTCTCTTGGCTGCTGCTGGAGGCCATTTGCCGTTAACTTGGCCAGTGCCGGCATAGTAATTAATGCTTGTAAGTGCCACTTGTCTCGCTTTCTGTGTGTGGGTGCGAGTATGTTTTTGTGAATGTGGTTGTGTGAGAGTGAGTGTGCAGCATAAGCTGCGAAGCGTTGCCACATTTTCAGATTTTGCGTTCTATTTTTTTTCGGAGGCTGATTGTTAATTGCATGTTGCCAACATATGTTTGCTTGTAAATGTGAATTTTTCGACAACTACGCCTCTCTCAGCTAATGCGCGGCAATTAAAAAGTGTTGCCAATGCTTCGCAACAAGGCCGCACAAGCCACAGTGGCAGGCAAATCTTTCGCTCCATCATCCTTAATATCGTTTTCAAGCTTGCCACATGGCGTATGCGTATTGCCGCTATGAGCGCCAAACTTTGCACAACTTTACATTCATCAGCTGGCAATAAAAACAATCAGCAAGGACGGCAGCTCATATAAAAAACAAGTATGTAACAATTAAACGGTGAGTGATCAACTGAAATGTACCCTGTCTACAAAATATAATTATAGAATGGGTTTTTGTTTGGTATATATCGAATTTTATTATTTATCTATTATAACTTTAAAATTAATAATTAATTGTAGCAATAACTCAGAAAAATAGGCTTGATCGAATCATCTATAATGATTGTAAATATATACACACTACGTTCATTCATTTTTCTATCTGCTCAACTTTATTATACCCCACACATATATATTAATTAGTACGTGGCATAAAAAAGTACATATTTATACATAAACAAAAATATATAAGGATATATATGTGTGTGTACATTTTCTAGACACATCTGCGTATCATGATGTTGTCCTTGGCGTATTTGTGTTTAATAAGTTCACCAATTATGAGAAAATATTCTTATAATAAAAGCGTGTGTTAATAAGTAATTTTAGCTATTATCTGCCGACTATAATTTCTGCTTGCATAACATAATTAAATATGTTTTGATTTGATAAAGTACATTATTTAATTGGATTTGCAGCATTAGTTGTACAAAATATATTATATATTCTATTGTCTGAATTATTTATTTATTATATATATTTAGCTATATAACAAACTAAGTTTTATATTCTATGGTCTGATTTATTTACTTATTAATATAAAATATTAAACATTTATGTACAAATAATATTACAATTAATAATCCAACAATAATTAGCAGCGCTGCTAAAAATAATAGTCGTTCCTACTTTTATATGTGTTTTAGTAAATTACAGCCTTTAATTAAGTTATATATTCTATCGATCTTGGTGGACGACATGGATGTTACATAGAATGAGAGGGAGTCGTTTGTAAGGTGGGCTTTTCTGATACTCTCTGTTATTACATGTATCTAACACAAGGATATTTGTTAATGTAAAGGAAGCAGCAATGTAAAAGTTCTTATTATTATTCCTGCTAAAAACTAGTTAGCCATATATTAACTTAACACGGAATTTCAATAATAGTTGTGTGCTCAGCAAAGGGGAGAACATGAGAGTATTTGCCTGATTGCGATTTCACATTACATAATTGCAGAAATGAAATACTAAAGCAATTGGCGATATTACCAACTTGTCTGTCACTAATATTAATTTCCAATATCGTAAATTGATATATATAGTAGTATGTAGGCTTGAACCATGTACACGTCCATTCAATTTTCTGTGGCTGTGATTACCTGTGTATTTTGATAGCCGGAGCCCAACACCCAGAGTGATTGGGCAATTTATAAAAGCGTTTGAATCATTTCACGCCTTCGGCTTTTGGCATTCGAGGTTTGCGTGTTTAAATGCTTAGGTAACAAATATTTGACCAGGCAAGGAAAGGTCACGAGGTGTGACTTGAACACTCGAATGCAATCGCAAAAATAGTGTTTAATCAAATTCAAATACCACACACACACACACATGCACACATTCTTTTATAGCACTCGCAAATGATAATTTGATTAAATTCTTCTTCCACTGCTTCACACCCCCGCCCCTCGGTAACTAACCAATAGTACGTTGAGTTGAATTCTGTTTATTTTTAACATTTTCTATTTACAGTACTTTTGTGGGCGTTTGCCCACTTTGCATGAGAAAATCTACTTTTGTGTAGGCGTAGACGTGTGTGTTTGTGTGTGTGTGTGTGCGTGTATGAGCGTATGTGTGAATAAAACTAGAGCGCACCTTGGTGCTATTTTTATACGCCACAGCCACGAACAACAATTGTCGCTTACTTTTGCACTAAGTGTTTTTTTTTTCATGTTGCCGCATCTTTGGTGCAGCATCCTGGGGCAAGCTCGCGTTCTTTTTGTTGCTGTTGCTGCTGTTAGTTGGCAACACTTAAAATATAGCTTAGCAAATAACGTCAAGCATTGTATAAATAAATATATACATGACACAACGTTTTACTCACACATTATTTAATAAATTGCTGTGCAGCTGAAGGACCCTGAAAGCCCGTGTAGATGCAATGCTCGAGCGTTGTTGCAACAACATTTAATAGGTTTTTTGGTAACACAATACATAATACGTATGTATTTTATTAATTAAAGTACTCTTAATATTCCGGTAAAAGAATCAATCAATAATTGTTCAATTTTTAATGAAAGTAGGTAAACGGATGTCGTTTATTGAGCCACACAAAATAAAGAAATATTTTTGTATGCATTACAAGTGGGGAACTGTCTACAATAAGTATTTAAAAAGAATAACAAAGCATGTTTGACCCCATAAAGTATATATTCTTGATCCGCATCAGTAAAGCCGATATCGTTGCGATATATGCTGATAAAATGTATCTCAGTGTCGAACTCTCGAATTTCTCGAATTTGAAAACAATATTTAATAGTTGGGTTCAGGGTAGCTCGTAGTCGAGTTCTCTCGACTTATTTTATATTTAATTGGATTTTCAGTGAATATCGATTTGTTGGTTGTATTTGCTATTAATTAACTCTACATTATTTTATGGAGCTAAAAACCTAAGCTTCAAATGCTTCGCTTTAGTAAAACTAAATTGAAGTCTCTTGTCACCAAACAATAAAATCGAATTTTCGAAATCCTCACTTAGGTTAAGCATTCTAATGTTACAATTTTAAAATCGAACTCTATATCCATCATAATGAATGATATAATGATAGTTCAAAGCAAAATTCTCAAACGACTGAAAATTATTTTCCATTATTTAAATAGATTTTTACTTCGACACTAATTTTCTAAGATTCTAACGTATAGGTTCAAATTTTAATTTTTCAGTGACTTATCTTAGGGAATGATTCTTGATTGTTCTAGATCATATATTGACTTTGTCATGTGTGTGATAATGTATAGAGCGTACTGTTCGCGTAAGGTGATTTTTGTATGCAAGTGGATGGCCAAGCGCGACTAGGGAGTCTAGTTGAATAATTGGCATGCGATTACAAATTTATACACACACTTCGCTATAGGGCCATACGTTTTGGTTTTTTTTGGTATATTCGTAGGTTTTTTCTTTGCGCTGTTTCGTGACTACTTGCGTCGCACAATAAGTCCTATTCTAAAAAAAAAGGTGTAGCACTGAATATATATTGGAAAGTATCGGCATGAAACGATAATTTGATATAAGTTGATAGAGTGAATATTATAACTTTCTTCTATTTAAAGCCAACAACCATTAATAACAATTAAGCACACAAAAGTCACAAATAATGACACTTTGGTCTGTATGCTTAAGGCAAACTAGATTTAAGAAGTGTTTACGAGTCTTACATTCATAGACGATCCTAATTGCCAGATACCGTGTGATAACAAAAGATTCTTACATTAGTCATTAGTATTAGCTGTGTAAATAAACTGTGTGATTCAAATTGAGGTCAAGCGAAGTTCAACTTAAATATTGTTATCAAATTAAATATGATATTTTATTTTTATTGTTAAATTGTTAAATATTTTAGTGTAGATAAGGACTATTATTTTTTTTTTTTATTGATTTGAAGTCTCGACATCAGACTGTTGAGGAGTGTTGATTGTTAAACCACTCTTTTTATACATATGAGAGTGTGAGTGTGGGTGTGTGAGTGCGCGTGAGTAGGTGATAAATTTGCATTTATACCGTTACGCTATTGTTTACTTTGTAGGTTAGTTTGTTTGGCTTGCCTCTGCTATGTATATATTTACCTTCGATGCCTTTGACGGCAGCAATGTCGATGTCGATGACGATGACGATGAAGACGGCGAGGACGAGGACGAGGACCACGGACGAGTTAACCTCAAAGCATGGCAGCCAGCAGCTCCCTCTGATACAAACCCGATGCTCCAAGCCAGAACAGAACAAAACAGAGCAGAACCTCTTGACTTGCCACACTCGACTCGGCTCGTCGCACTTGACTTGGCCCTCGTCTGTTTCTTCCTGCTTTTCTTTTTTTTTTCGTCTTTTGCGTGTCTCGTTTTAATTTGGTAATGACTTTGGCTTATTAATTTACTTGTTGTATAGTTGCGCACATTTTTGTTACATTTTCAGTTTTTGCCAACTTGTCACTCACTTCACTTTACTCTCAACCCGCACGCACACCACGCATTCTAATTTTACGTTGTTTTCTGCTGTTTTTGTTGTTCTTCTGGCTGTTGTTGTTCTTGTCGTTGCCTAAATTCGCTTGCGAATGGAGCGACACAGCAAAAAGCCAAGCAAGCAGCCTGCAGAAGTAAAAAAAAACTGTATCTTTTAGATCTGGGCATATCCTTTATCTCGGACAACGCAGCAGCGCAGTCGGCAGCAGCAGCAGCTGCGACGTAAGCGGAGCAGCAGCAGAAGCAGCATGAGCAGCTGCGGCTGTGGCACCGCCAGCAGCTGTAGCTGGAAAAAAAAATTTTGACTACGCTGCTAGGCGAAAATTTAACGCTCGCATTTAGTGAATTCTTTTGAATTGATAACAATCAACAATCGACGACAAACAAGAAGAAAAAAAAACAGCAGCAGCAGTAGCAGCAGCAGCAGCAAAAGCAGCATACCATAAATAAAAGTTAAGAACAAACCGCGGTGCGTTGCCGCCAAGCAGCCCAGTTTTCGTTGGCGGCACAGTTAACCGTTGCCGTTATTCAGGAACCTTGCGACGCGCACACGAGAGTATCCTATACACAACTGATTACAGTTACAGTCCCTGCAGCGACGGCAAACGCGACCGCGACTCAAACGCTGACGTCGGCGTCGTCGTCGCCTCGTCTCTGATTCGTTTCGGTTTTGCGTTCGTGTCGGCAGTGCGGCGACGATGACGGAGACGGCCAGGTTCCGTTACTGAAATTTGACTAAGCACTGCTTTGGTATTGCCTTACTCCGGACAAGCTGAGAATGCGACAGAGACTGAAGCGGCAGCGCCGACAGCTTCACATTATTATGCTCTCGCCGCTGCCTTGACAGCGGGGACTACTTGCGGCGAGAGCGAACGCCAAAGAGAGCGTACGAAACCAGAGAGTCAGATAGAAGCTCGTCAGAAGAGAGGTCTTGGTGCAATGGCTCCCGCGCATACAGTGGCATAATCAGAAATAATTAAATGACTAATTGATACAGATTAAAAAAATGTATTAAATGCGAGTAACATTGTATTTAATTTTGAAGAAATTGCCAAATTTTGAGAATATTAAAATTCGATTACAATAAGCTTCTCTCTTAATTGCATAACTGATTCCACTGTGCCGCTTGCAAGCCCCCATTTTGTTTAGCAGGTTGCGAGTGACACTGTCTGGCAGCACCAAACAATTGTGTGGCTTCTCTCGTCACGGCTTTTGGTCTGTTTCTAGTCTCGACTCTGTCTCGGACATATGTATGTACATACATACGTTTGGACATATTTTGGGCCCATGTTGCGCTGCTGGCGTCGCAGTCGACGACGCTGTTAACTTTCACTGTTAGTCGACATCGTCGTCTTTTGCCAGTGTGCCTGAGAAATTACACCCCAGAGTTTAGGATGAGCATACTTGGTATGCCTGCCCCATGTCTCACACTCCCCCTCCTTACCCAAGGATTGTTGAGTATTGAGCATTGCCACACTTTTCACCAACAACCGACGAGAAACAGAAGGACGAATATTTAACAATCAAATGACAAGAATTTAGTGTGTGTGTGCATGTTGTCTCTGTGCGTGTGTGTGTCTGATTATTGTTGCTCTTGCTGTTTTTTTTAATTTTTCAAGCTCTAAAATGAACTACTTGTGGGATGATGGACACGGCAGGCAATGAGCATTTGGGAAGCTGGGAATAAGACAGGAAGCTTTCTGGACGAGCACTTGGTGCACGCTTGCGAGCCTTTCAAATTTAGCGTATTAACTCATTAAACGTTGAAAAGCCCATTGCCTGCTAAATGTGCACACATCTGCCAAACGAGGTGTGTGTGTGTGCATGTGTAAAATATGCACAAGTGACGCCTATGTGGCTGGCTTTGCTTGGCTTGCTGCTACTGTGGCTACGGCTGGCATTTTTCACACTCAGACCGCGAGGGAGTGGTGTTGAGTGAGTGGGGGAGGGGTGGGTTATGGGGGGTAGTTTGCTTGAACTCGCCGCTTTATGCAATTTAAATTAATTTCTGTAATTATTTTAGTGGAGCACTTAAATGGCTTTATTTAAAATGCCCAAGCTTTGTGGCATGAGATCTTTTGTGCGTCTTTGATGGCGTTACTCATACACCGCGTTGCATGCGCTTAAAATATGCACAGGAAAGTGCGACATGGCTTAGCATAGCTAAAATGACAGTTGCGTGCCTCAAGTAATTACAACACAATTATAATGACCATGAAGTGTCGTCGTCGTAGTCTAAGTCTTGGCAGCCTTAGTCGCGCACTCAACGCAATGTGTTGCATGCCCCGGCAGACACTATGGCACCAGCTGCCAATTCTCAGTTCATTGCGATACGTCAAGCGGTAGCCGCAACGGCTTTAGAAGTGGCGCCACACCAGCTTTAGCAGTGACTTTTAGCACACGAAACTAAATGAAAACATTCCCAAGTTTCTTACCAAAGTTTTGCAGTTAACACAACAAAAATAAGAATAACAACAATGTGAACTACGGTAAACAATATTGTTTAACAAACTGTGGCATGCGGCATTCCGTCACTTATTAATTTAATAACAATGCAGAGAAACTGGCTCAGATAAGATAAACTTGGTATACAAAACTTGTTCGACTTTTGTTTAAAAAGTGTAAATAAAAATATACTTAAATTCTAGGAGTCTTTTAACTGACTTGTTGTTAGTAATTCCTGTAATTCTGGTCTAAACATGGAATAAGAAACAAAAATAATTCCAACAAAGACTTTAGCAGCCATGGTTCCATCTTGGTGCCTTAAGTATATAAATAAATTTATGTTATAACTTGAATACATAAAAAGAGAATAAATAACTTTAAATCTTTAACAATATTCCTTTATACTCAATTTGAATTATTCAATATAATAATATATAAAATACATATATATGAAAATGTCTAAGCTCCTCTTACCCTCAACCTATTGAAAATAAATATATTTTTGATTTATCTATTTATTCCGCTTTTCTGTTATGTCATCATAACTTTTCTTTTCCTTAAACAAACTTAGAAGATAATTTTGTCTTCATAGTTTTGCCGTTATGCACAAAAGATCGTTCTGTTCGAGTAATTTGTAAATCGTAGAATGCCTTATGTAACGCATTCTCGACGGAACTCTCTCCTCCTTTAATAAAATTTTCACTAAATAAATATATATCGTAGAAACCTCAGAACATGCATAGCTGTGGTAAACTTACTCCACAGCTTTTCTTTAGTTTTTTTTTTCTGGGGATTAGGAAACATTGACATAAATGTTGGACAATTTTACATTTTAAGAGCCCAGGTTTTTTTTTATTTATTGTATTCTTTAATTTTTTGTTTATCATTTAGAATTTAAAATTTTTTCTTTTAATTTAATATAATTAAATTCGAAACATTCATTTTAAATTGTTATTTTTTAGAACCTTTACAAAATTGTGCTCTGTTTTAGTCCACATTGAATAAATAAATACTATAATGAACTACTAATAAACAAGCCGATCTCAAAGACAACAAGAACTAGATACTTCAATTATAATGTAAAATCTCATACACCAAACGCATATCAAGTATATTTTATTTTTCGATAACTTTCACCGTTTCCAAAATTTCAATAAAAATTGATTACTTATCGAAATAATAGCCACAATTTTAAAGATATTCCTATATAATGAATAATATATATACTTTGACTAAGTATTGATAATTTTTACAAATTTCATTAAGATCGATTGAGAAACTGCGAGGAAAATCGTATTTTACCAAATTACACATCAGCAATATTTTTTAAACTAAAATATATCACCGATTTTTAAACATTCACCCAAAAATAATAACATTATCATTACACTAGATCAAAGTTGTGTAATTATATGAAAATATACATTTTAGCTCATAAATTGTCATCTATTTATCGTATTAACAATTACACTTTGATAGGATTGGAGAAAGTATCTACTTATCCAAGATAAGCAAAATTCAAACTTAACCATTGACTTACTTACACATTCCTATTAACTTTCCATTCAGAATAAACAGACAGATTAGCGCTATTTTATTAATATCAAATTTGTAATATTCTCTTTACTGTTCGCCTTCAAAAAAACTTGCACTACGTCCTGCAGGATTATATTAAAACACATGTTTGTTTCTGTGTATTTTTAAACTGTTTAATTTTTGTTTTGCAGCAGCTCATAATTTGCGCATTTATAAATAGGGTATATACATATATGCACACAGATATGTATATATATATATATGTATGTATGTATATATATATGTATATGTATATGTATGTATATGTATGTATATATATATATATATATATATATATATATATATATATATATACATTTATATATATATAGAAATGTATATATATGTATATATAAAATACAATAAATAATTGTTTAGATGCGGATGGTTTTACATTTGTTGTTTTGAATGCTACATTTTACAAAATTACGAATATGACAAATGCACATATGTATTTATGTATGTACGTGTTAATGTATTTATGTATTCATGTAGAAAGGAGGAAAGCTTGATACAATAACAGTCGAAGGAGGAGTTGCTTGTGGGTTAGTTTACGGATGCATCGCATGCCATTCTATTCCGCCGTGGAATCAATCAGTCAATGAAGGCACTTCCGGTTGCTCAATGGCTGCAGACTTTGTAGCAGCATCGTCCACCTTTTGCGGAGATTCTGGCACATTTTGGACAGGTTTTTCCTCGCCAGAAGCTTCCGTTGCTGTTGCCTCCGCTTCTGGCTCCAATGTTGAGGTCTGTTCCGATGAGGCGGTGTCCGTTTCCATCTCCGATGCCGATGCTACCGCCGCCGCTGCTGCAGCTGCAGCAGCTGCCGCCTTCGCCTTTGATTTGGCCTTCTTTTTGTTGGCGTTCTTCTTGGCATTGTTTGCCCGCTGCTGCTCCTCGGCAGCTTTGCATTTCTCTGCCTCGGCGGCGACAATCTTCGCGTCATTTGTCGTCAGCAGTTTCATTTGGTTCTGCAGATTGGCCAACGTTTGTTTCAGCTCCGCACAATTACGTGTCATCAGCTCCATTTTGGCATTGTCCGCCAGTGGTGCCACTTTAATGGGCTCTGGCTCTGGGGGCAGTTGCGGCATGGCGGGTATCTCAATATTCTGATCTCGCAGCGTCTGATGTAAAGTTGTCCTCTCTTGTTGCAGGGCCCGCAGCAGCTTTTGCAGCTGCTCCACCTGTTTGAGGAGACGTTCCGATTGCTGATCCCGCTGCTGCTTCTCGGTGGCCAGTTCAATCACCATGGCATTGGCCTTGTCATGCTTTTGACGCCAGCCGAGCGCTTCCTTTTCGATTTTCTTCGTGTGCTTTGACATTTTCTCCAGCTCCAGCTTGTAGCTGCTAAAGACTTCGTTGGATTTGTGCAGCGATTGCTGAAAATCATCGTATTTAGCCGTATAAATGTTCAACTGTTCCTTCATCTGCTGTTCCCGCTCCGTTAGCTCCTTGATGGCACGTTGCGCCTGCAACAGTTTCTCGAGTCCAATTTGATTTTCTCTGTTAATATATAGCATCAGAGTATATATGTGGAATTATAGGTAACGCGCTCACTTGGTGAGTATCTCCTTCTCCATGGCCGCCTCCACCTGTGCCTTGTTGAGCTTGGCCTGATGCAGCTGGGACTCCAGTTGAACCTGCTCGTTCAGCTTCTCCAAATGCTTCTCACGCGCCTGATATTGCTCCGCCAGCAGTTTTAACCTAAAAATAAAGAGAGAAGAAAAACAAATGATGAACATATGGTTGTCTTGTTGTGTGGCAGCCACACACACACACACACACACACAAACACAGAGGCACAAGCACATGGATGGTGTCTATAAATAGAGAGGCCGGTGTTTCTATTTGAGTTAATGTTGCTCACTTTTTGGTCATTTCGATGTTGTAATCGCGCAGTTTGATGTTCTCTTCATTGTTTTTGGTCAGCGACTTTTGCACCTCGTTCAGCGAGCTCTGAAACTTGATCTGGCTCTCCTTGCGTCGCTCCTCCTCCACCTTGATCTGCAGCATGCTCTCGTTCTTCACCGACTTGAGGATGCGCTGCTGCTCGCGGCACACCTCCTGCAGCTTGTCCCGCATCAGGACACTCTTGTTCAGCTCGCGCTGCACCTGCTCCTTCTCCCGCTGCTGCGCCTTCATCTGGCGCTGAAGCGCTCGCATCTCGCTGTTCAGTTTGCTCACCATCTTCTCGCTTTCCATGTGCCGCTGCAGCAGTAACTTCAGTTTGTCCTCATTTGTGCTGCACTCGTCCAAGGATTTTAGCACCTGCCAAATGTGTTGTTGTTGTTTAAAAGAATATGATTTGTCGATTGCCCTTACTTACCACATCCTCTAGTTTTGAGTCCCGCTGCTTTTCGTCGCGGGCGATCCGCTTGTTTTTGCTCGCCTTCTCCATGCTTGATCTTGATTCGTCCGTCCTTCCGTCTTTCTCTTTCTATATCTATCTATATCTCTATATGTATGTACCGCTCGTTCAAATTATTCCTATATTTGTTGAGTTTGCTGACTAAAGTGTAACCGAATATTTCAATTCCAAATGACCTATTCGCTTTAAGAAATTTAACCAAAATACGTCTGTAAATAAACATGTCTTCAAAAAAATATACCAAATAGTTGAAATATACCACCAAATCGACTAGGTGTGTCCGCTATTCGATAAGTTAGAGGGCGGGATGTTGCCAACATTCAAAAATGCGATATATACGCATAAGATAGCTGTCCAGCTATATTGAATTTAGCACAGTTGTATTCTATATTGATCTCAATTGTCATACATGTAAGCAAATAGCTATTCAGGATATGTTTGTCAGAATATTTTACCATTTAAGCAGCTCAATAAATATTAGCTTATATCTCTAACGTTTCCAATTTATGCCAATAGGTGGTGATTATCGATAGTTATTGTGGTTGAAACATCGGTAGCGATAGCACCTCTAGTTCTACACTCGATACATTCGATTGTAGGGTTAATTTTGTATGTATGCGTGTGTGTGACTTCGTCATATGACATTTTTCACGTCGCTCGTATCGAGTCTGCCTTCGCCTTCGTCACTTGCTTTTTTCAACTTGCACGGGAACCAGGGCAAAATCGAGCACCAAAAAAAACATTAAATTGTAGAAACAGCTTAAGATGGCCAGTCAAACGCAGGGAATACAGCAGTTGCTTGCTGCTGAAAAGAAGGCAGCCGAAAAGGTGGCCGAGGCCAGGAAACGTAAGTGCATATCGAACACAACAAAATTGCACCCCCTCACCCACTAAACGGTTGATAGTTACAAAAAAGCTTACGACTTTTTTTTCGCTAACGACAACGTAACGCGTTATGCGCCTCGAGTCGAATCGCGTATCGTGTCTCGAGTCACATGATGCGTTTTGCGTTTGAAGTAAATATTGACAGAAAGAGAGTAAAATTGAAAAAAATTGAATTAAATTGCAGGCAAGGCGAGGAGATTGAAGCAGGCCAAGGATGAGGCCACCGAGGAGATTGAGAAATTCCGTCAGGAGCGCGAGCGCGCCTTCAAAGAATTCGAGGCCAAGGTAAATATAAATCACAATTTACGATATGCACTTTTAAATACTTTTATTAATTTTGAAATATTTAAATAAAATCAGCACATGGGCAGCCGCGAGGGAGTTGCTGCTAAAATCGATGCGGATACTCGGGTGAAACTGTCGGACATGGAGGGGGCGATTCGGACGCGCAAGGAGCCCGTCATCCAGGAGATTTTGCAGTTCGTCTACAATATCTCGCCAGAGGTGCACAAAAACTACAACAAGAAGGTTTAGGGGCTGTTTCCAGCTGCTTTTATTTGATTGTTTTTGGCCAGCTCGCTCGCAAAAATATGCTCGTTTCTATTGTAAATTCGTTGTCCAAGTTCAACTCTTTTAATTCATAATTTAGCCACTTATTAATAATAGAGCGTACTATATGCCTATACATTAATTAAACACTGCTGTATTATTATTCCATATATTAAAATTTGTTGTTTCACCAAGAGAGTATCCCTCGGTGCAGTTATAAAATTTTTATATTTCTCATTCGTTAATTTGCCTTGGCCATTGTTTTCCAACTATTTGTATTGTATTTTGTATTTCAATTATGTTTAATTCCGTACAAATACAAGTTGTTTTCCTGAACTGGGTTTTCATTTTATGTATTCTAATTTTATATCAGAAGCACTGATAACATCAACGACGTTCAGACATGAATGACAGATGTACGGATTATCATTTTACTATTACAAGAAATGCTATCATTTTGTCGTGTGCCTTGTAACGATACAAACAGCCGGATGCGAATAATATGTTTATAAAATGTATCTCAAGAGTGTTCCTATGGATGAAAGAACTAAAATCATTCACCAAACCCAAAAAAACAACTTATAATTGTTAACGGTTCTTAAGCTATTAATCTGATATGGATCAGGCGGGGAACCAAACATAATTTTTAAAATGTTTGAAATTTGCTTTCATTCTGTTAACCATTATTTTTTAGATTGAGTCAAATAAGCTTTGATCTTAAATTGGTGATTTTGGGCTGCAAGTGTATTTAATCTTCGGTGTGCTTAAGATAAGCACACATTTTTCTCTTTTGCATTCTTATCAATGCACACATGTCGTACAACTTGTATGTCAGTCATTTTAGGTTTAGGTGATTTTTGCATTTGGTATTTTTTTCGTTAGGATTTTTCTCTGTATTTTTATCTTTGTAAGGGAATTGTAATCGTTAGTGTTTATTTTGGTTTCGTTCGGAGAGGTGCTGTGGCGCTCGCCGCTTGGTCTAGTCCATTATTTTAAGCGCAATCATTGCCAGTTAATTGTGTAATAAAAGAGAATGAATTACAGTGATAAGAGTCGCAATTGCTAAGTCCAATCATATCTGATGCTCGCGTTGACCGCTAGCTGACCAGCCTAACACATATACCCACACATACAGACACACACATAGATGACGAGCGAGAAATTCGCACAGTTTACCAAAAATTAAAACACGTCTAAAGCTAAATGCTAAATTTAGATAATAGCGGCTATGCTGCTGATGCGCTGGAAATGGAGACAGCGAAATCATCAGCATCAACCCAGATGCTGCCTGCCTCCGACGAGGTTTCCTCAAGGCTGTCGAGCGAAGAGCAACCAGCTGCTCAGTTTGAGAAACCCTATTCGGCTCCATTGGCGCCTTACAATGAGGAATTGTTGCAGCGAGTTGGCCTCGGAGACAGACTGGTGCCTAAAGGTAGCATCTGGGGCGGCGAAAGAGATGCCTCTCGGCGACTTGTGCGGCTCGAGCGAGGAGACTATGGCGACGATAAGTCTAATATCAGAAACTCATCGTCGTACGAAGCAATCAACATGCACGAGAAGCGCGCTAGATTCGCTGAGAGGTAAGCAAAATGAAGAAACACTTGGGGACATAATAAAAGCACCACTGTTTTTTTCTAATTTGTAAGTTTAAGGAACTTATAAAAACGTTTTTAAAAGACGAAAAATATCCTTAAACAAGTGAGAATGAAAAAGACATTATTTTATTCAGCGCTTTAAACTTACTTAACTTTAATAAAGTTGGAGCGAAGTTTCCCCGCACCAGGGAGGGAATGCCTGAATCAGAAAATAAAACGAAGTACCAACAGCGTTGTGTACTCAACCAAAGTTTATTCAAGATGTGATGTCTTCCCCGCTGAGGTCAACCTCATCATAGCCTTTCCCCTGCATTGAATAACCGACCATGCGGTATTCTTTCCCCTTGGGCTTAAACTTGCCCTTATGATGACCCTTGCCACTGCAACGGAACCAAAACTTTAAGATGGCTTATCGTTGGTTTCTTACTAGTCCACGCTTCCATTGGTGTCATCTCGATCAGTGCCTTCTTTCAAATAACCGTTGAACGTTTTGTTTACATATTCGCCGTTGTCGTAGCGAATGCATCAACTTCCCTGTCTGACGCTCTACCAGATTTTTGCACTCCACGAACTTGAGAAAAACCTCGACTCTTCCTTTGAGGAAATACACAAAAATCCGCCTTGATTTGTCATCAATAAACGTTGGGAAATACTTAGAGCCGCCAAGAGACTTTGCTTCGAAAGGGCCACACACATCAGTGTGCACTAGTTCCAGAAGTTCTTGCGCTCCTGGAAATGGCTGCACGTGAACCTTATTCAACATGCACGTCTTGCACGACTTTCGTTGTAATACGTTAACGTTTTCCATTCCTCGCACCAGCGCCTTGTTTGCCATTTCACACAAACTATCATAATTCACGTGACCATATCTGTTCTGCCACAACTCCTCCGTCTGATTTAACAGCAGCATAACATCTGTTACGATGGCTTTCAAACGTATACAGATTTCCTACTCGTTTGGCGTCGAGTATACATTCGCCGCTTTAAACACTCCTGCACTTGTTGCATCAAAATTTACAATGCACTTCTTTGCTATGGCTTGACCCACATACCAGTGTACACAAATCCGTTTTCAATTGAAATTCGCTTCTGCCTTCTGTTTGCAAGAAGCCGGCGTCCGCCAAACCGATTGTTTCGGTATGCGCCTCAAAATTTGAAGACATTTGTTTATCACAACACATATGACTTGTTGCTTCACTGTCCAAGCACCAGCCGAATTTCTTAAATTTCAATGCTGCTGTCCGTTCAACGACATTCTCATAAAGGTCTGGAAGACTGGAAAGCAAAATAATGACCTTGAGCTCGTCAACTATTGCTACTCCAATGCCGGAAGCTGATCCAGGATCCATTAAATGTGATCATGCGTGAATTGAGCAACTTTTTGTATACCGAGACTTTACGCACCGGCCCGCTTGGCTGATGGACTTCGCGCAACTTAGTCCATGCATCCTGCGGCATTGTGCAATTATTGCTGTATCCCAACTGCGATCCCTTAACATTTAGCGTGATCGCTGCCAAAGCCTTACGATCCAGAGCACTCCAGTTAATATTATCGCCAACCGCAGATTTCAGAAAATCCCCCGACGCATCTTCCCGTAGATCCACATGCACCAACATGCTTCGCATCTGTATGCTCCCAGAATCATAATTCTTTTCTTCAAGCATCTCAATTTTGTACAATACACTAATTTTTCTATTTCTGCGAAGCAATTTAAATTTACAAACATCCATCTGCTGATTTTTTCTTTTAACACATCCGAGTTCGTAACTCTGGATAATAAACTTTAACCAATTTTATGAGACCACGTACTCTGGGCCCATAACCTGTTAGAGCGGATTTTCCCCGTGTCAGGGAATGCCTGATTAAGAAAATAAAATGAAGTACCAACAGCGTTATGTACTCAACCAAAGTTTACTCAAGACTGTCGCGATGCTGTTAGTTAACAATATTGATATTCATTAATGAGGGACTTAACATATACATATACGTATATATAGACGCTCGGTTGCATTGAATGTAAATTAAGATAATTTTCAACAAAAATATAGAATCTGAAGGAAACAAATTGTAACACCATTTTTTAAATATGCACTGATAATTATGCAAATTAGAAATAAATAAGTGATTTCCATAAAGGTTGTAAGTGGTGCTTTAATTTGTTCGCTACTTTTGGGCACTTTTCTATTCAAAGGAGAAAGATATGTATTGAAAATAATTCCGCAAACAGAACTGACTTTCATTTATAGAGGGAGTACTAAACAATATATTAAAAACCAATATTTGAAAAATTGCGAAACTAATGGTTTGCTCTTCCTTTCATAAGAGAAAATCTCGTAGTTGTGCTATTATTTTCTTCGCAACTGTGTGTATGTATATATCTATGTGTGTGTGTATGCGTGTGTGTTTGCGTGTGTGTATGTGTGTGTGTATCTGTGTGTATGCACTATCGAGGCCTATACTAAGGGAAATGCTTATTAACTTAATTACCTTTCGTTTATTGCTATCTGTTGTTGTGCTCAGCTATTCGTGTTTACCGTTACAGGGTGATTCCCTACAGTTGGCTTAAATCAGAATTATCGGATTGTCGTTTTTAATGCGTTATTATTATTCTTATTATTATTATTCCTCCTACTTTAGAGATATTTTGATCAGAGCAGTTTCGCACACACTAAGAAATTTCTACATAGAAAAAAAAACCTTTTCAAAATAGGAACAGATTACTTGAAGAGTACAAATTTAATTTATTATTTGTGTATTGTATACATTTATATATATATATATATATATATATATATATATTCTTTTTTTTGGCAGAAAAATAGTGCGCAGAAATTTGATTTACTTGAAAATTAGAATCTATTCTAGAATTAAATCGTTTTGGGTCGTGCAAAGCCAACACGTTTTAGACATTAGTTTTAGCTATATCAATTTAGATAGGCGCCCTGTAAAAGCTCTTTGTACATTTGCAACGTTCTAAGTTTGTTTCTTTAAGATAAAAAATTGTCCGTCTTTTTAAAGTGTGAAATTATGTTGGACTGTCATAAATTGTTGATAAAAGCCCGTGATAAAATCTTTAATAAACAATCAGCAGATGTTTGGTTTGACTTCGGTCTGTGAGGGTAAATAATCTTCGGCGTTGATTCTTGATTTTTTAAATATACGGAATAGTTTTTAGATATTGTATGTATATACATATAAATTTATAGGCCTATATTTCTATATATGAAATATTATTAAATGTACTCAAGAAGTTACATTCCCGCGTTTTTTAAGCTGATGATTTTATGCTGCAATTGGAGTGTAATACTCTGATGTCGGTTAGTCTCTCATTTGTGCCCTTAATTACAATATAATATAATCACAGACGGTTTTTTAAGTTTCTCTATTAAAACACATTCTAATTGCAATTTCAAGTTTACTGTAAATTTGATGAATGTGTATATTGAAAATTGATCTAGAAGAAATGTGAATTTTAATGCACGTCTGAAAAGTACAAATATATATAACATTTATTAGCTGGCGTAGTGTACCCTGTATAAATCCAGATATTAATGCATTCATTTATCTCTGTATCTTAGTAACAAAGGTCACTCCCCTTTTAGGTTGATATTTAATTCATATTATCAAACGGTATAATTAACGGCATTCACTAACAGGATAGTAGACGGTTTTCTGATAATTGTTATGACATATTGGAATAACTGTTACTGTGTAACTACTACGAAAGCCGGAATCAGAATCCCACACACACACACACTCACGCAAACAGATTTCCGCGCAAACAGAGATTAAAGCTCACTGATCTGATATGCTCTGCTCAAGTGCTCTGACTCACTCTCTTACACAGCCATGCTCACGTTGTCTTGTTCGACGCAGACGCTAGCAACAGCTGATTTCTCACTCTCGCCTGAGTGTAAGTTGGAATGTGTGCTGTCAAAGGGTGGGGCGGGGGTAACAGGTGCTTGACAATACAACCCGGTAAACGGGCAGACGCCTCTTGAATTACTCTCTTCGCTCAGCTGATTGTCGGCGAAGTCTCTTTTTCTTTTTTGTTCAGTTGGTTGACGTTGCTGCTGCGCGTTGGTCGTCGTCATCGCGCTGGGTTTTTTTCTACATCCACTGTGCTTAAGTGAATATTTATATTAATAATTCGCGTGAAAAAAATTGAAAGACATTAGTGTAACCATATTTTTTTTTTTGCACATTTTTTTGGCTAATGTCAGTTTACTATTGGGTAGGTTAACAACATGACAGAGGATGCGATACTCTACTTTGATGAATTCTTTTATTGGGCTTTTCTTGGTTACGAGCAGTTGTGATGTATTAATCATCAGTTCGGGGACATAATTCAATGACTTCTCTGTGTGCATATCTTTTGTGTGGGTGCACATGATGCGTGTGTCAGTTTATTATTATTATAATTTTTTAAATTTGTATTTGTTATTTATATATCCACTTATTTGTCAAATCAAGACGGCCTATAACGCAAGAATGAACTATATGTCAAGCAATGCGTTATATAAGCTATATATATTTAAAATGCTTCTGCCAATTCTCTCATCTTTCTCTCATTTTTGTGTTTTGAATAAATTTTATATGTCGTGGCCTTGATTACAAAAAATAAGTTTATATATATGACACTATAAAACAGTGGGCTTGTAGTCGAAAAAATACCTCCAGTGTGTCCAAATGTATTGTGTGTAAATGTGTCTAATTTTTAAGAAACTTCAAGTTAATCACTTTGTGCTGGAAGGTCATTTTTGGTATGAACTTTTGCGGCATATAAATAATACAATCTAAAATCGAAACCATAAACACGAATAATAGGCGCAAAGAGAACACTCATCAACGAACTGCGGATAAATATAGCTAAAAACACTCAACTTTAAATGAAGTTGCAGCAACTAATTCGTTTTGGTTATTCACATTTAATGGGAAAACCAAGTTGTGTACCACAATGCATAAATAATTGAAATGTGGTACAGAAAACTTACAGGCTTTACAAATATACGTTCTTTTTTGATAAAAAATGAACAATGCTTTATTTACATTGTTTTCTTATGTCATATATTAACCCAAAAGAAGAGAGACCCCTGCATAAAACCTTATCGCTTTTTTAAATGCACTTCTGATAATTTTAATAATGTTCGCGATACCAACATTTTACAAAGATTCTTATTACAGAAGTAAAACAAGGCTTTTATAATCGTAATGATAAAATGTATACTCATAATTGGATTAGTGTGATTAAGTTCTGGCTAGCAGCGCCTCGAATTTCAACCAAATTGTGTTATCTATTATAAAGAAAGCAAGTGTTATTTAAAATATTTAGAAACCGTCAAATAATCGTCTTGATAAGAGCTGAATTAAGTATCACATACATTTTGCTCTCGACGATTATTCATACTCATTGAATATGTACTTGTTGTTAATTTGATGCTATAGTGATTCACCGGAGGTATTTTTTAAAGCGCCAAAGCATCTGAATCATAAGAGATGTCAATGGAAATGTGTTTCACAGGCAAATAATAAATTACAATATATAATTTCATATATATATATATACATATATATATATATATATATATATATATATGAAAAAGTGTAGGCAATTTTCTCATTAGCACGTGTCTACAAATTGGCATTCGCTCCAGGGAGAAGTTGAAAATATAGGGTGATGAGAAATTTAAAATGTCTCTGTGCTGTTTTGCGTTGTTATGACTTGTGTACATTTTCACAATTCTCTATTTGATATACAAAACGGCTGCATAAACAAATAAATTCATCAATACATAAACAATCCCCTGATGTTCACATAGGCGCCGTCTGGCTTGCAGTTAAATGTACTGTCTTCGTTATAATATTATACGTGTCATTTAGTGTTAACGGCTCTCATTCGCATTGACCTGAATAATTGGGGAGTGGAGTGCCGTAGCTGTTATGAGCTCTGGACACGCCAGGCCACAGGACGTCCCTGTTGCGCTAATAGGTCGTATAGAGACCCCGGGGAATCATTCCAGGGCAGTGTCCTTGTATTGGCTTTTGTTTAATGAAATCACTCTCACATATTTATCCATTATACAATAACATATTGTGACCGTTAAAATTGAAAATATATGTTTGCCGTACTCAACAGCGAGTCATCCACATTTCAACTGCCAGACGCACCCGAACAGCAACTGTCGAACGGCAAGTCCAGCCAGCATAGGGCGAACAGCTTCAGCCACTCCACACCTCTACTGCCAATGACTGAACCCACTCTGGACACCAATAGCTACGATGAGCGCGAGTGCAGCTGCCCACGGGAATTTTACCAAAGAGCCGAGCTCAACACTTCATTGTTCTTTGCAGACTGCAAACGATCGATTGATTTTGTTTTGGCCTACAAGATCAATTCACACGCACCCACGGAGGTGGAGTATGCGGATAAGCGACGCATATTTGAGGAGAGACTTATAAAACAGGGACTCGAGGTGGAGATCAGTCACTTGGATCAAATCTATTTTGTCAAAGTGAGTAGTGTTTGAAATAAATTCTAGTTATTATTTGCTAAACAATACGTCAAATTCACATATTTCAGTTGCATGCTCCTCTGGAGGTGTTGCGTCGCTATGCGGAGATACTTAAGCTGCGTATGCCCATGAAGGAGGTGAGTACCCATTTCTGTAGCCTTACGTTTTACACCCTGGGTGCATACAGTTTCATGCACAATGATTGTTTTAATATGCACATGTTTTATGTTATTTTAGTTCTTATCTAATTTGAGTGTAAATGAAAGGTCAAATCGTCTACAATATGCGGCGCAGTGTTTGTCAAAGGTCTGCCAAATTATTCTGGTCAAAATTAAGCATAATTAACAATTGTTATAGAAAAGCTCCTAACCAACCAAATGGTCAATCACATAAAATAGTAACATTGAGAACATAGATAATTAATATTTTATAATATTGTGAAGTGTTTAATGAGTCGATATATGAGTCCGTCTGTCTATCTGGGGCTAACTTTATATATTTCAATAACTATATCTTCCTTAGGAACTATCCATATATGTTTTTCTTTTTTCTAGTTTCTTAGTTAACCAAGGCCCTCTTATTGTAATTATTATGCCTTTAAGATATTGCAAGTAGATGTCGATATTATAATTTTCGTAATCATAATCTAATTATAATAATCAATCATAAATTATGTTATAATCTTTATAGATGTGGGCTGGTGGAGCTCGGCCAGAGATAGCTGTTCTTTCTTAAATTATGTAAAACCCAGGAGCAGTATGATTTCTAGATATTACAAATTTAATGGGAATGTGCTTTATTTCAACTGACTGCAGTTTAATCAAAATAGCTTTAAAAATTGAGAGAATATATGTTGTTAGAATTGACTATAACAGTCTGTTGATGTGAATCAGTAATATGTAATATATTGTTTTGAGAACGCATTTTCCCATCCATGCATTAAAAACTTAATGTTTAACTTAATATGTAAAATGATCTGAAATAATCGTGCAGAAAATTGATCATTTTATCGTTTTAAATATGTTTTTCATTACATATCCACAATAAATATAATGTGTATAAATATTTGAATTTATATTCAAAATAAGTGCTAGTATTATTCATTGTAGTTTATTCAGCTTTTACTTACGCCACAATTATAAAAAGTGCTCTAGCTAGTTTTGTTTGATGTTATTTTACCAAGTACATTTTGAGAAAACATGCAATTTCCTGGCTAAATAATCATTGTTTTATATTATTTCAGATACCCGGCTTATCTGTGGTAAAAACTTCAACAAAAAGTGTATTTTCTAGTCTCAAAACAGTCTGGCAATTCTTTCTGCGTAATATTTATGTTGACGAGAATTTGTTCCCGAAACGTGCCCATCGATTTACGGCCATCTACAGCCGTGACAAGGAATATCTGTAAGTCTGAACATTGTGGTTACTTATAACAAGCTAATAATTTGTATCATTGCTTATAGATTCGACATACGTCAGGACTGCTTTTTTACGACCGCAGTGCGTTCTCGTATTGTGGAATTCATTTTGGATCGCCAGCGCTTTCCTGCCAAGCGAGACAGTGAAATGGCCTTTGGCATCGAACGCTTGATAGCCATGGGTGTCTATTGTGCCGCCTATCCGTTGCATGATGTGACTATTATTAATATTATCAATAAAAACTATTTAATCTAATAGTTGATTTTTAAACAACAGGGCGACATTATGGAGGTGGGCACAATGCGTGAACTGCTCTACACAAACTGGGCGTCGGTGAAGAAATGGTATCGCTATCAGCCACTGGATGATATTAAGGAGTACTTTGGCGTCAAGATTGGTAAGAATTCGTCACGAAATGTGAAAACACACCCTTTCTGACAACTGCATTGTGCAATTTCTAGGACTCTACTTTGCCTGGCTGGGCTACTACACGTACATGCTGTTGCTGGCCTCCATAGTTGGTCTTGCTTGTTTTCTTTACTCCTGGATTTCCCTTAAGAATTATGTGCCTGTGTAATTTACTATGAAATACTATTGCAAACTTTGCTTTAGCTAATGGATATTTTTGCATTTGCAGTAAAGATATTTGTTTGCGATCAAACGTCAATATCACAATGTGTCCGCTGTGCGAGTGGTGTGAATTCTGGGATCTGAAAGAGACCTGCAACTACGCAAAGATAACATATCTTATTGACAATCCGAGTACCGTATTCTTTGCCGTTTTCATGTCCTTTTGGGCGACACTTTTTCTGGAGCTTTGGAAACGCTATTCAGCTGAAATTACGCATCGATGGGATTTAACCGGTTTCGATGTGCACGAAGAGCATCCAAGGCCGCAGTATTTGGCGCGTCTGAAGAACATTAAACCAACACGGACCGACTACGTCACCAATATAAAAGAGCCGACGGTGCCATTTTGGCGAATGAAGTTGCCAGCAACCGTGTTCAGTTTCTCCGTGGTGCTGCTACTGATTGCCTCGGCATTTGTTGCTCTCGTCGCCGTTGTCGTTTATCGCATGTCCCTGGTGGCCACCCTAAACAATGACCGGAGCGGAATGACCACATCGAAAGCGATTGTTGTGGCGACTTCAGCGGCGGCATTTGTCAATCTCTGCTTGCTTTATGTTCTCAACTATGTAAGTAGCTGATAATAAGATCAACTCTGATCTAACTGATGTAATTAATTCGCTTTATTTCAGTTATATAGTCACTTGGCCGAGTATCTGACTGAACTCGAAATGTGGCGCACTCAAACACAATTTGACGATTCGCTGACGTTGAAGATTTACTTGTTGCAATTCGTAAATTATTATGCGTCCATATTTTATATAGCATTCTTTAAGGGCAAATATATTGGCCATCCGGGTCAGTACATAAAGGTATTTCAGTACCGGCAGGAAGAGGTAATTTTGCGTATTCGTCGTAATTGTATTACTTCTAATTGATCCGTGTTTTTAGTGCTCCTCGGGTGGCTGTCTGACAGAGCTGTGCATACAGCTGGCTATTATAATGATAGGCAAGCAGGCATTTAATACCATACTGGAGGTATGCTTGCCTATGTTTTGGCGCCGGGTGCTGGTCATTAAAGTAGGCCTCAAGAAACTCATTGGAAACGCGGTTAAGCCTAACAAGGGCAAAGATGAGCGCTGGATGCGTGATTTCAAATTGCTGGACTGGGGCGCACGTAGCCTGTTTCCGGAGTATCTGGAAATGGTATTGCAATATGGTTTTGTTACCATTTTTGTGGCTGCCTTTCCGCTTGCTCCATTCTTTGCGCTACTCAATAACATACTCGAAATGCGCTTGGATGCCAAGAAGCTACTGACGCATCACAAGAGGGCGGTTTCACAGCGTGTACGGGATATTGGTGTCTGGTATCGCATACTGGACTGCATTGGCAAGCTAAGTGTCATCACGAATGTGAGTTGAAACTATTCTTGTTGTGAGCAATAATGTGACTTATTTAATTATTTAGGGATTTATCATTGCGTTCACTTCGGATATGATACCTCGTTGGGTATATAGGTATAAGTCAGAAAATGGGAGCTTGGATGGCTACTTGGACTTTACATTGTCCGAATTTAAAATCTCTGATTCCGCAGAGCTTCGCAGACTGGCTAGTGATTCTTCCAATATAACCACGTGCAAGTAAATATATTTTCAATGCGTATTCTCTAAGTTGTCTTTTAACTTACGTTTTCTTTTCCTTATACCAAGGTACACGGACTTTCGGGAGCCGCCTAATTCACCAAACCAGTATACCTATTCGGACATGTACTTTATTATTTTGGCTTGTCGTTTGGCCTTCGTAGTCGTTTTTGAAGTGAGTTGAATTGGGCATGCTCTGCATTGTTCGTTTTATTTGTTTAATTACATAAATGCTTGTACATCGAATGAGAAAATACCTTTAATTTATGAAATCCGTTAGATTAGTTTGCTTTCTGTTCGTTCAGATGTGTATAGAATGCCAATTAATAGCCAGTGAATGCTTTAAACCTTGATATGCTGAAACATACCGGACGTTTCCACAATGCTCTCCTGCAGCGCTCGATTCTCATTTGTTGATGTCTTCAGCATGCGGTACAGTGCATAAATGCCATAGGCAAAGAGCGCATTTAGTACTACCAGAAATAAATCGGATTAATTGCGTTATTCCTGGTCGTGAGATTGTGAGCCTAGCTTACCAATAAATACACCAAAGAGCACGCTGCGCGCAATGCGTCGATCTATGGAGGCATCCACTTCATCAATTTTTAGCTCTAGGCATACAAAGATAGCCACTTCGATGATCATCGATGCACACGCATTAATCAACCATGGGGCAATACAAATAAGTCGTCGCTATTCAGTAAAAATAAAGTAGATAAATTATTTAGCAATATATTCAGCAGCAAATTTCTAACTTGTCTGATGCCATCGACTAGAATACAAGCCACCACCAGATTTATCAACGCCTTTACCCAAACAGTGACCGTCAATATCATATAGAATGCCTGTGAAAATTCATGGACCAGCACATAGTCCACTACAGAATCAATGAGTTATTTTTATAAAAACTGATTTACATCGCTTTCTCTGGTTACCCAATGTGGCCACAAATGTTCCAAATGGACTCAGGATCTGCACATCACTCTGTTGCCATTGGGTCAAGTCCATAAAATCGTTATATAGATGATAGCTGCACAGGCTCAAGGTGCACAGAGCAATTAAAACATCCAAAGAGGCTATGCTTAGGCCAAAGGAGCGTATATTCAAACAGGCAAATCGTTTCATTGTTGCAGAAGTACTAAATTGTTGATAGCTTTATTTCTTTGTTGTATTTTTTTATATATATAATATTTAATTATCAGATGTATTTTGAATGGCAATTACTTGAAATACTTATTTTGTTTAAATTCACGAAATTTTTATTTAATTTGTGGTTTTTATGTTGTTTTATTTAATATCCTTTTCTGTTAGATCCTCGAAATTATTTATTTATCGATTTTTGTGAACGCGTGCGTTCGATTCAAACTATTTGCCGCTACTAAATCAAACATTTGCATTGTGTGACAAAATTAGGTCCGGCTTTAATTTATTTGCCATTTTCTCTTCTTGTAATTTCTTTGTTTCTTTTTCTATTTATGTTTTAGATAGATAAGTTCTCACTTGTGTTTTTCGCTTGTACATAAGTGGCACATGAACTAGATCTATGGGCTTACTTGATTCTTCATTTTGAAATGTATCCCAGCTCTTTAACTAATGTTTTGACCATATTAGGGTGGAGGCTAATGTCTGTCTGCCAAGTGATTAGCAAAAGAATTGAATTAACAACAAAGTGTTCTTTTGTTTCGGTGGCTGGGCGATGATGCATTTTTATGGTTTTACTTTGAGCTAATGACCCCAATTGGTAGAAGTGGTGAAAATTGACAACAAACGGTTCTACAGTTAGTTAAATGTAAATGCTGTTTGAAGGTTGTTCCTTAGCGAATTAATCAGTTTTGTGAAATTGTAAATTTTGTAGAAGCACATGGGTTCATAAAATTATTTTTATATTAATATTATAATAAATAATAGTATATTTTTCGAATGTCTTTCATATTTTTCAGAACTTTGTGGCCCTTGTAATGATATTTGTGCGCTGGTGCATTCCCGACATGAGCGTAGAGCTGCGGGATCAAATAAGACGGGAAATCTACATCACGAATGAAATTATCATTAATCAAGAAGCGCAACGCGCTCGTTTTGGTAAGTTGTTCAAATATTGTCTTAATATATTAACCTATCACTGTTGCCAATATTCAAAGACTTTTGACTTTTCACACTTCACTTATCATGCTAATAAAACCATAATACTAAATACAAACCGAATCTTTTGGCAATATTGGTACTCACTTAGAATAAAATGCTTATGTATTTATAATTTGTACTTTCAGAACGCTCTAGGCGAATGTCGATGTCACGAAATCCAAGCGTAGATGATGTGGATGCTGCCTCTGTGACTGAACCCAATTTAAAGTTAATACAAATGGAAAAACTACTCACCGCAAATGAAATTGAAATGGACTCAATTATACATGGAGAAAATTCGACCACAGGCATCTCTGGTGCAGACTGTTAGAAACAACTTTGAAAATCGAATGCACAGTGATCTGCACAAATTTGCATATTTATTTATATTTGATTTTTAGTTTAGGTTGTAAAAGTGCTTCATTGTGTTATATAAGTTCCTTTGCAGAAACTTAATTAGTGATATAAATTTTTGAAATACGTATGTGCAAATGCTTGCAATATGGTTAAAAAGCTTTACTCATTCAACCACTAGAATTTGTTTATAACAATCGTGAATGTGATACAAATGCACTACTAAAATACCTATTGGTACCTATTGGGTACTTGTGCAATGTCTCAGTGTAGATAAAATTAAATCTCAAATAGTTAAGCCCATTAAGTGCCAAACTAAATATTGCACAAAATATTTTCGTTATTGATATTAAAATTAAAAAGCATTAGCTTTTCAATTTGTCAACGACAAAGAATTACCACAGAAGAAATTAATTCTTTGTAAATGGCGTTATTGTTAAAATCATTTTTGTTTTTAGTTTGCAATGTACTTAGAGTGCACATACAAAAATTTCATACTTCCTTAAATCTCATCAATTTTTACTAAATCTCAGGCTCTCTCGAACACCCATTGAAATCTCATCTAAACAAGCATAAACTATAAAAAAATGTGAATATATTTAGATGAAGTAGTTATATTAAAAAAAATTTAGTAGACATATATTATCGGTGCAATAATGTATTTATTGTATTCAAATAATAACATTAATATGTTATAAATATTATCTTTTGATATTGTGTATTGAAATAAATATTGTATTTACCGTTTATAAAGTAAAACTGTTTTATACGGCAAATAATTTGGACTACGTTTCAATATTTATAATCTGTTTATTTTAATTATTTACAAATTATTCGACCAAGTCGAAGTCGATTGTCTGCTTAATGCTTAAAATGACCAATAAATTAAAGTTCTCTTATTTATATAGATAATTTTATAAAAATTTAAATTAACATTTTAAAATACTGATACATTAGAATCATAAAGATTATTGTCTCAGTAGATTAGGAATTTTCATATTTGTATCGGTTTGGAAAAGTCTCCTTTAATACATATATATATACATGTAAATGTAGCTTAGCTAAAATTTATCGTGAGTTGTGTTTTTTTAAATGTTACTTTACTGACTAGTGGTTTACTAAAGTTTGGTCACCTACTGAAATATTGAAATATTTTTTTCAAATTTATGGCCATCGATTTTTTTTTGATAATGCTTGACCTTGATTGGTTTCTGAGCAAAATCTATAATTAAATGTCTAGATAGGTATTTTCTGGTAGATAATTAGTTATGTTATGTTCCAACTGGTTGTGGAGACAACAATTTAGCTCGCCCTCCATTCATCGCTTTTATGTTCTGAACCCATTAAAATTAACCAAAAAAAAAATCAGAAATTTTTTTTTTTTTTTTTTTTTAAATTTTTTTCTATTTACAAATAAAAAACAACATTTATTAAACTTAGAAAAGTTTTCAATTGTTTTAAATTTAAATATAAATATTTTTTTTGAAATGGATAATATTTGAAAAAAGTGTAAGTGTATATTTGAAACCTTAAAATACTGATGTTAAATGATAATATAATGAAGCAGAAAGCCATTATTACAGTTATGAGTAAAATGTAGGAAAATGTACCCTGGAACTAAGGAAAAAATACCCCGAATAGACACAACCTTAAGTTTTTAAAATACATTGTCTGAATAATAAGCAGAGTAAAAGTTATGGAGATATTCAAAAATTCGGGACGATTTTGTCTGTGTATAAGCATTTGGGTGTTGGACTGAATATCTAAAAGATTAACAACTTATGATATGAGAGGATTTGGGTTCACGGTATGGGCTAGGCGAGCACTCTCAAAGATTCTTACTTGTTTTTCTTTTTAAGATCACACTATATATATATATATATATGTCATTTTGAAATTCATTTAATTAAATCTTTAACAGCTTTAATGTTAAGGTCTCTACGCTTAATTGTTTGCCGAACTAATTGGAGGATTATCTAACATAAGTCAGACCATGGCATTGCCTTTTTGGTGAATTCTGCTGGCTCACAGCCAGCCCTTATCAGCACAAACTTGGACTTTCACTTCCTCAATTTGCTGTGTAGTCGAAATGAGCGCTCAATTTCTTCAAGTGCATTCTAGCTCATACATCAACCAAGAATCAGTTGCTTTTCCATTGCTGGACGTCGATGACATCCCCAAAGCGCAACAAGCATGCACAGTTGAGAGCAACCTTCACACTTCACTGAGAGCTTGTTGCTATACTGGGGCCAAGTGCGGGAGTGGGATGTCCAATGTTGATGTTGAGAGAGCTCCCCTTTTGGTGCGCATGTGCCAAACAATGACGTCACTTGGGAAAGCGTGCGCTCTGTTATGTGGAGCGCAGCTGTTTTTCTTGCCGCCAGCGCAAATGGCGCACATGTCGCTGTCGCTGTCGATGGCGTTGGCGTTGGCAGCGTCCTCTGTTCACTCTGGGCTCATGAAAATAATAATTTTCATTCGTTTATTTTGTTTTCCACAGAGTGGTGCGCATTTGGCTGTTCGTCGTGCTCTCTGCGGTTCGTGGTGCGGTTTCTGTAATTGGTTCTACTTCGTTGTCAGATTTGTTGTCATCGCACAGTTTGTTTTACGGATTTCTCGTGTGAACGGCCAAGCAAAAGCCGGACGCGGGATAATGCTGGGTTCGATTGCCGTTCGTTGTTGCCGCTGCTTCCATTCGAATCCGCTGCTTGGACCAATTCAGGTGCAATTGCAGCGGGCATTGCCCTAAGGAGGAGGGTGTTGTCCAGGCAACTTGCGGGGCATAAACCGGGAGGCAATTAAGTAACTTAATTCGTCAAGGCCGCTCAGCCGGAAATCACAAGTATGTCCTAATTAAATAAATTCCTACGCATGTATGGATGTGTGTGTTTAATATATCCTAATTAAATCTCGACACAATCGAGTACCTTCAGGCCAAATGACCGTTTGCGATTTCTAGACTATCGATTTTGGTTGCCGTTGCCAGTTTAGCATTTGAGGAAATGCTTTCCTTCATTCAATGCTAACTTAGTGTGTATGTGTTGTGTGTAGTGTGTGTGTGTGTGCTCTCGGATTTGGCGTCTTTGCAGTTGCATTGCGGCGCCTTGGCGCCTCTTTGTTTAACTCGTTGGGCGCCTCATTTCGACAAGTTTTTCACTTGTGAGGAGATAGCTGAGTTTTTCTTTGTACTCCATTGTGCTCTTGTCTTGGGTTCATGGGGCGAATCTTTAAATAAACTGTGGCATATATTAAAATACGAAAAGGTTTAAAGTTACCAATTGTAACAGGAAGCCGACTAAAATTTGTGTATTATTTGAAAATTTTGCAACTTTGGGAGTTCTCAAGAATTTTGTCGTGTATTATAATCTGCTTACAATATTCTTGGGTTATACATTATCATAAATATACTTGTACTTTGTTTTGATACTGTTTCCTCGCTAAATTGCGAGTTGCCTTCAGAAATTGTTGATAATTTTATTGATTTAATAAGCGACTCTGAGTGGGTATCTGAACTTATGCATTAGTCATTAATACCGCGTTGATTTCGCGATATATAATATTCCTGAAGTAATTAAACGTAACTTTAATACGATTAAAATTATTTATTTAGCTTTGCTGTGTGTCTACGTGCTTAACGGTCTGTGTGGCATATGTGCAAATATCCAGAACCACACGGACTTGCCACACACTCGAATTACAATCCAAACAGTGGCCAAATACTCCGATTGACTGACTGACTGTTCCTGTTCCACAACATTTCTAAATAAGGCATATGGGGCAGTTGACAGTCTTTTGTTTCCTGTCAGCATACCTTCTGAATGCACAGGCTAAAGTACAACAACGAGTAACCGATTGTGTTTAACTGACATTGAAAAATGATGGTGCCACTCGACTATAAATTAAACTACTTTTATTACTTTAAAATGTGGGTGATGCTTATTGTTATACTTTGATACCCAAGGTATCAATAGTATGTTGGTTTTGTGCAATGTTGGTCATGCTGTCTGTCTGTCTGTCTGTCTGTCCGTCTGTATGAAAGCAACTTTTTTCGACACCATTAGAGATAGAGACTTGAAACTTGGAACACGTACTGGACTGTGCACGCGTCAGACAAAGGGTATAAATTGGAGTGCTACGTCCACCAGGGCGCTGCAGTTTTCAGGTGTCAGTCACCAAATTTGATTTGTAGGTTGTTGGCAATGTCCTTCGGGGATTTGTTTATGCCACGCCCACCTCTGCCGCGCCAACGCCCATTGCCTATAAAAATTTCAAATGGCTTTGTCTTCCGCAGTTTTTGAGTTAGAGTCGTCAAATTAGGTAAGTATGTTACTGGTAGCCGCCTTTAAGAGCCGATAACTTTTATCATGGCCACGCCCACACCCGCCGCCCCAGGAACTTCGGCCCTAGAAATCTGAATTGCGCAAATCTTCCACAATTTGTGAGCTAGTCACCAAATCTTAAAAGTATTACTGGTAACTCCCGTAAGATATCGATAAAATTGGATGACCACGCCCGCTCCACCTCTCTAAACCAATACATCTGTTAGTGCAATTCGATAAGACCATTTGTCTCACACAATTTGAAAGCTCGAGTCACAAAATCTGAAAGGTATATTGCTAATTATTTGGACCACTCCCACCCTCACTCCCTAAAACGATAAAAGCATATACCTTCCACAATTTAAGAGCTACATTTACCAAACTAGGAAGGTAGATTACTAAGATCGTATTAAAACATTTGGCCACACCCACTTGCGCTTCCAAAATTCCCAGAAGCCTACATCTCCCGTAATTGAACAACTACAGTTACCAAACTTGGAAGGAAGATTACTAGAAAATTTCTCAAATAATTTTTTCAATCACGCCGGCTCCCGCACCCAAAATTTCCAAAATCACATATCTCCATAATTTAAGCGCCACGGTTGCCAAACTTCGAAGGAACGTTACTAGCTTATATCTACCGCAATTTGAAAGGCAAAATTGGACAGTGCGTTTTGGCTACACCCATCCAGTCCTTTGGTACTTGTTATCTGCTGGGCTTACTTATGATACCAAAGTATTTCGCAGTTACGCCTGCAACGTTCTTTTTTTTTTTTTTTTTTTTTTTTATGTAAGGCAATGAAATGTGTGTAAGTAGAGCCTGAATGTGTCATGGTGGTGATCAATTATGTACCAATTTAATCATACCGATTAAAGAATCGAGGATAAATTGTGACTTAAGTCTAATATTTAGCCCAGCATTAGCTGAACTCCACATGCTTAGCGAATTGAATTAACACTTCCTCTTTGTCATGGGGGCTAATAAATTAGATTAAATCAGATAAAAATAGAGGTTTTATTTTGGTTATAATCAAGAAATGTGCCGCAATATAAAAACCAATGCAAACTTAACAAAAATTGAAAGCAAGGCGTGCTTCAGCAATAAACTTATAAAGATAATATAATTTATTTAAAATAATACGTGCAACAAAATGGTTGATTGTGAATAAATTAACTTCTGTTTGAATAGATTTAAATATTATTCAATATTAATTGCATTTTTTGTATAAAATGTAATCAATACTCGACCCATAAATTTGCTGTCAATCGCACATTTTAAAGGCCCCGCAAACAAATTCATAGAAAACTCGCATAAAATGTGCACATCA